GGAAAAAGTTGGCTTAATTTGTAATTGAAAAATGCAATTATCAATGTTGAACATAATACTGGCCTTTACAGACGAAGAACAAATACAACAAACTTTGCCAACAACAATGTTCAAAAAGAGTTCACTTGATAATACAAGTCCCCGCAGCCATACACCTACAAAGCATATTTTTTCGGCTTCGTCCCACCTACGAAATATGCTTTTTCAGCTTCTCACCACCTACGAAACATGCATTGCACATATTTTTTCAGTTTCTTGGCACCGGCCCCGTGCACCTACCGAAACATAAGAAATGTTTCTCGGATTATCACCACCTACTAAAACACAAGTGTTTCTCGGTTTCTCGGGTTCCACCTACTGAAACACAAAGTGTTTCTCTCGGCTTCTCGGCAGATCTAGATCGAAAGAAATACTAAAGCATTTCTTTCGACTTCGATCAGGGAAAACTTGGTATTATCAAGGTACTATCTTTCTGTTAGCGCGAACTTTCCAAAATCAAATCAATCGCGTCAAAATTGGACCAATACAATTGCAAGATCTCATGTAACATAAATAAACGCGCGTATAACTATCGAATTTTAAACTTACAAAGTGGCTCAAGAAAAATCTCGGACAACATTAAAGACACCTTAAAGGCAACAAACGAAAGTTTACTTCAGTTAGACCCTCACATAGATAGAAAGACTGCTGAAAGTAAACGAGAAAAGATGCAATTATTGATGCAAACTCTTTAAAAATGACGAAAAGCCACAAGAATACAAGTTGTTAAACGTATGGCTTAATATCTCTGGGAAAGAGAAAGAAAACAATTTCAATACTTTTTGCATATAGAAGAACAACACAGTAAAGTACAACAAAATTTATTGAGTATTTTAAAAAATTTTTCACCAAATATTCAAATCCCTTTAACTACTTTTATGGCAAATTCGGTTGGGAACCTTTACATACAAGAACATGGGGATTATGAAAAAGTTCTTTTAAAAAAATGAGATTTTTTTCAAGTGTCGTCAACGTATGGGCTCCACCTCTGTAAATGTACGGAAAGGAATTCATCGATTGATAATTTAACAGACCGTGAATTTGGGAAAGAGTTACAAAAAAGAGACATACAGGACGAACAAAAGTAGAAAAGGTGCAAGAGACGAAAAGCCTAGTTCATCGATCATCATCTCCGCTAATTCCACAAAGATTCTCGTTCTCACCATCTGAGCAAGGTTCATATGTTGAACCAATATTAGAACATGTTGAGAGAGCTCTCTTTGGATTATTACAAAACTTCAGCAGTATATTCCTACGAAAATAGTAAAGAATTCGCAATGAAATGTATTTTCCCATGGCAGATGGACTTTTTGGATGCTGATCTATTGTGTCTTTTAAATTTCATTATATACAATATTTCTTTCTTCACAATGGATCAATCTGATCAGATGTTGCTTTATGAACAATATAAACTAAACTCAATAGATTTTCTCAAGTCTTTCAAAACCGAGGCGAGGAAACCATCATGCGCACGGAATCACACAGCCAGAGGGAAAATGGAACGATGAAAAACTACAAAGATTGTCAACTCTGGTATTAAAAGTAATCGTGTGCCTTGGTAAATTTTGTAATACGAATACAGATATCATTCTTACAGTATTTATTAAGGCGATTTTCTTTTTTATATATTTAATTGAATAATAGGAGATAAAGAAGCATTTGAGCTATCGGTAATAATAAAACATAAGTTAAATTATGAACTCATAAAGCAGTTGATTTCAACGATGAAGAGGAAACATGAGGAAAGTGTGAATGAGCATCATGAGAAGAAGAGAAATATGGACAGACACAGCTCGGAAAGCTGTTTGACTTTGTTCTAGACATAATAAATTGGATTAATTGAAGCAAATTTTGTGATTAGCTGTGGATGAAAATGAGACATTTATGAAAACTCAAAAGAATGAAAGTTCAAAGATTAAGAAGTTCATAGTCCTAATAAATTTCCAGTTTGACATGATAAGTACTCTAATTTGCCGTTTAGAATACCCCGGGTATGTTACATTCCACCAGCTAAAATCCGATTTGTGCCCGGGGGAGTACACTGTACGGCAGGAGGGTATATTATATGGGTAATATTTTATATAGAAATGATAGTTTCAGCCAGAATTACGAGGGGGGTACGTTACATTCTACTCACTTTGTAAACCATGCATCGGACCGGGTACAATCCATGGGGGTATGATATTACAGGAGGGTATTCTAAATGGCAAATTATGGTAATCGTGTGCCTTGGTAAGTTTTGTAATACGAATACAGGGTGATTTTCTTTTTTATGTGTTTAAGAAGCAGTTGGTTTCAACGATGAAGAGGAGGAAAATAGGGATGAGCGTCATGAGAAGAAGAGAAATATGACAGACAGAGATCGGAGAGCTGTTTGACTTTGCTCTAGACATAATCGATAATTGGATTTATCGGATGAACAAGAACTAAAGCAAATTGTGCGATTAGCTGTGGATGAAAATGAGGCATTTATGAAAATCCGGAAGAGCTTAGTAACTCAAAAGAATGAAAGTGCAAAGATTAAGAAAATTATGGCCCTAATGAATTCCAGTTTGACATGGTAATATTCCAGATGTTATCTCTTAGATGCTTGGTTATGGTATCCAACCAATTTCATAATACGTAATATGTTTAACAGCATCTAGAAATAAAAAAGGTCGAGGTGTGAATTATGATTTGAAGAGATTGAAGTTAGTTTTTTTTTTGATAATGATTAGCAAGAAATTAATAAGAGGTTTTTTAGTGATATCATAATAAATCGTTGATAGTTTCTCTTTTGATAGAAGTGGATAATTTTTT